TACAACATTCATACCTTCATTCATTTTATTTAATGGATAACAAGAATGAAAAATATTAATTTTGGTTTGGATTTTTATGTCAAAGGAATTTTATACAGTCTTTATATAACTGTAATAGTACAAATACATTAGGTACCTGCTGTGAAGAAGAGTGGTAGTTCCTTTTACACACTTACATGTATCATGAATGAAAAGGATTACTCTATCTATAAAATTGTTGTACGTAACTTTTTAATGGATACCTAATATGGTGATGCTGTCTTTGACACAAATGAAAACGCCAGGTTGGCATTTATGGTCATTTATGAATATTAAATAAATAAGAAAGTAACAAAGATACGTCAACACATGGTATATGTATATTTGAACACAATTACACGTAAACACATTATGTAATATAAACAAACTTATATAGATCATAAAATCCACGGTTTCAAATATAATGCGATGATATAAGCATTTTACAAAAATGTACAATAAACAGAATACTTATTTCAGACCTAAATAGCGTCAAAGATAGGGCATTTTTATATGTGATAAAAGATAAACTTCAAAAAATAGAGGTACTGTGATCGAGCACTGAGCCAATTAAATGATACCCAAGTCTCTCATATGATAATAACGGCGCTGGGAGACTCGAAATAAGTGTCAGATCAAAAAGTTAAATAGGAAGTGTACAATGGCATTATAAAGGGTGTTAAGTAATATATAGGGTACCTTTTAACGAGTCTTCAGATATCAGACGAGGGGGCTTGTCCCCCGAGTCTGATATCTGAAGATGCACGAGTTAAAACAGGGCTAGACAAATAGCACTGCCCGACGCCCAGGGCAACCAGTTTTGGTTGGTGGGCAAGTAATTTGATAACAGGTACCTGTCCGCGGACAAGTGATTTTCAAATTAACCAAAAAAAAAACCATGTCCGATATACTCAATTATCTTTTGCGTTATCGCTTTAAAAGTATCATGAATCACAGAAAAGCACTTGTTTTTAACTGCTGTTGACCACTGCATCGCTGCATATGCGTACATTGAATAGTCGGAACTCCTCTAGATTTTACCAATTAACATATCGTTAAAATATGCAGATGTCGTAAAACATGGAGTTACCGATGTCGTCAAAAATATTGTATGGGAAAATATTAAATTCGTACTGTGAATACAGATGCTAGTGGTATTGAATTTGTTATTGATTGCTGTTCCCTGGCAATCACACAGCCGGGCCGTGGTGTCGATGTTCTGTTCACAGATTGATTTTATAGATCTATGGTCTTGGTGTATTGTTTAGGTCTCTCACTCAAGAAATAATTTAATATCAATACTTCAATTCTATGTAATTTAAGAACAAGAAACTTATTGACGCAAGCGTCAAAAATCGGCCGCAAACCAATTAATTGTTCCTTTGATAAAGTATTAAGAAACTGAAATTTGCGTGATCTGTTTTTAAAATTTTCTTACATTTATCTGTTAAAATATCCTCGTTACATGAAACACTTGTATAAGACATTGCCGATTTTCTTCATGCATAATGCATGTACAGTATATGTATAAACAAACTGTCCATAGACCTCTGCGTCTCTGCACTTTAATAAAAATGTCTTAGAGGATGTTAACACCCCCCCCCAACTCCCTCTAGATAAAATAAATATAACAAATCCTGTTTAAGCTGATTAAAAAGAGAAAGTAAAATTGTTGATATACAACTCGTTCTTTGTTTTAGACTATGCCTACATATAAAGTTGCCGCACTTCTGTCATGTAAGAATTTGTCAATCAGGATTGGATGAAACATTTACCCCCCAATATTTATAAAATTTTGATTATATGATTATTGTGCTTTTAGTAAACATTTAAAAAATCTTTTTTTCAATTTTCTATTAATATAAATGTTAAATATATTTATTTAAATTTTTCTAACTCCGCAGAAACGCACGGCCACTTGAAACTTTCATATCAACTAACCGACCGCCTCCTGGCGGCCGGTAAAAAGGTGGGACAAGCATATTTTTTGGTAGGACAGGTAGTTTTACGATAGTAACCTGTCCGAGGGCAAGTACTGCAAAATTGTATTTGTCTACCCCTGGTTAAAAGGTACTCTATATGTTTTGTATCATTGTTCCCAGGACCTGAGTTACCCATGCTCTATCATTTTTACGTTAATAGCACGTAGTTCTACTGTATTCTCACGCACTGAGTTACCCATGATCTATCAAAATTTCATCATACAATTTTATCTGACCAATGAAAAATGAGCATGTGATTTGAAAAGTATAGGGTGCTGCATGTCTTAAACTTTGGATTACCTCACCATTCAAGTCTGAACGCCATGAATGATGGTTGTGATGTTATTGCAATTATCGATGCAAACTAGAAATATGAAGGAAAATTCTTTATGTCACTTAATCTTGACACTCGTAAAATACTAAATGGGCAATTTAAACGTCCAAGGAACACCGCACGGGAAATGGACACTTTTGACCGAAATGTACGGCGATTCTTCAAATTACTGGATGTGTCGATTTGTGTTGGAATTAATAAAACAAGACGGCTCGGAATATTTACCTCAATTCCTGTACATGTAGTTCATTGTGTGTGCTTTGTTACGCTTCAAGTTTATGCGAGTCAAAAACATTTATTTCTAACCCGCTGTGTGAATTTCATTTTGGATTTAAAAATCGACGTGCAATTTTTTTTTATTTTAGGGAAGGCATTCCTTCACTATGTTTACATGACTTTGTATTTGCTTTTCCCCTAATTATTCGGTGTAAGGTCATATGTTATTTCTTAGATTATTTGTTTCACCATCACCCTGGCGTGCTCTATCTTGATAGATCACGGCTGTTAGATCATAGCTAGCCATTATGTATCAAAAATAAAACACGGCGATCTTCAAAGGAAAAACACCGCAACAATGATACAGTAAAGTTTGTTCCAAATTTTTCTGTTATTTTTTAAAAGATATGCGATGAGAAAATATTTACAATTTGTGATATTTCATGTTAACAGAGTCCATTCTTACCACTGATAAGGTTTTGAATTAATAAGGGGAGGGCAGGTATTAAATCAGATGATGTCTGTTCAGAAAAATTAGGGATGAAGCATATTTTATACTTGCAAACAATATTGACTGTCCTAATTTGAATTCGTCCAACCAGAGTTTTTTAAGGTAAAATTTTTGTATTCTTCAAACTTGTCTTGTTTTAAGTTTGTTCAAATGAGAGTAGAGCGAAAGAGGCGAAAATAAAACGGGGGCGAAAACTTCCTTGTAAACGATAATAAAAAGAATATTTTTTTTCTCTTTTTGAACGTTATAATGGTTATTATCATCATTTTATCAATTGTCTGTATATTATAGCAGACCAGTTCTAGAGAAACATTTCTTGTTTAAAGGAGATGAGCAATCAAGGCTTGAAAACAAAACATCTGTTAATGCTAATGAAATTTGTAGCTTACGAGGTATTTTTCTACATATTCTAGTTTACTTTCGCAAAGCAAAATTCAGTCGAATCTGAATGGAACCTATCTGGGCTTCTGTCTTTCGATGAGTGTTTTGTAAACTTAATACCAGGCCACTATTAATTAATAACTTCTTTATTTTGACTAAAATCAACTGCGTCTGCAATCGTAATCACTGAAACGAATTTAAGCTTATTATAGATGACATAAAAACCTCATTTTGAAAACTTCCATTAGTTACGACCCCGTGGGGATCCGGGTTAGAATAGGTCTTCAGTACCCCCTTGCTTGTCGTAAAAGGCGACTAAATGGGGCGGTCCTTCGGATGAGACCGTATAAACCGAGGCCCCGTGTCACAGCAGGTGTGGCACGATAAAGATCCCTCCCTGCTCAAAGGCCGTAAGTGCCGAGCATAGGCCTAAATTTGCAGCCCTTCACCGGCAATGGTGACGTCTCCATATCAGTGAAATATTCTGGAGAGGGACATTAAACAGTATACAATCAATCAATCAATCCATTAGTTACGTAATACTTTTCTACGATTTTGGAACATTTTAAGATTTTGATTATGGAAATTTGCAACATGTGTGTATCATACTGCGTGGATGGACAAACAAATTGGGTATTTAATTAAAGGTCACTTTGTCTGTACGTTCGTCCGTCCGTCTGTCTGTTATGCTTTGGGGTACACATCTCTTATCCGCAACTCCTCTCAAACCACTGAATGCATGAAATTTGATAAAACATTCATAGAATCTTTATTACATATTGCCATTGTGCACCTCCTATTTTACTTTTTGATCTAACACATATTTTGGGTTTCCCATAGCAAAACTTAAATGCTGCCATTATATTCATATGGGAGCCGGGGGTATCATTTAGTGAGCTCATTGCTCATAGTACCTCTAGTTTTTATTCTGATTTTGTTTGTTTTGGGCGAACGTCATCGTGTGTCGGTCATTTTCTGCTTCTTCTCCGAAATTGAACCTATTTCAACCATTTCGGAATGAAGCATCGATGGGTATTATATCGAGATATAAAAATATAGATTTCATGGTTCCAAACCCCCATAGGCCCGTTGGGTTGGAGAAAAACATCAAAAGTAATAGTCTTTAAATATCTTCACTTCAAGACCTCAAACAGTTACACTCTTGAAAAATGAACATTGAGACCTCTTTCACACAGATATACAAATATACCCACAGATTCTTGAAAAAAACCCATCAAAAACTTATGTAAGGGTGCTTTTGCTCACTGAGAAGTTTTAAAAGTATATTTGCGACTCTTTCAGTGTTGTGGAAATACACTGTACATAGTCCACAGCATAGCATGTATAACATTATTTTTGATCAAAGAAAAAAAAAGTTAGACAGATCGCTCTTTTCACTTCTTAATATTCATGGAACTAGTGTAAAGCCGACGTAAGGCCTTTAATCTACTTTGATACCTGGGCGTTTGTTTCGAGAAATCTGAAAAATGTTGATAAAGTCGAAAGAAACGATGACAAAAACGACGAGACAAATAACGACTACTCCGACTAATCCAACATTCCTGGCAGAAATCCTGTCATCTGGGGCGCTTATCAGAGTACGCTTGTGCTTGGTTGTGTTTTTCCTGTCGATGGTTAAATTAGTTTGAATAGCATCAATCTTCTCTTGAAGGATCTCCGATGTCATTTCTGTAAAGAAAAGAAATGTTTTCGAATAACCTTTTTCATCTTTCGTATTAATGTTCTTTAATAAGTTGACTAAATTATGTGTGTACAGTGTATATATATATAATAACTATCAAACGTATATCAAACATACCAGGACACCACTCAGAAAGTGGTTTTGCTTCAGATGTAGGATATAGGTCCTTGCTGAATAAAAAGTAACCTTAAAACCAAAAAAATATTGATTTAAAGATTTTTACTAAAGCCGGACAGGCTAATTTTTGACAAGATAAAAAAAAATATTTAACTCGTTTTAACGATACATTCACTCATTATAATGAGATACTAACTCGTTACTATGCGATAACTAATTCATTTTAACAAGACAACTAACTCGTTGTAACGAAATAACCAAAAATAGTTATTTGCAAATGATACACATAATCAATTTTCAGCTTTATATGCAAATAAGTCTACCTCAACGAGCCTATCCAGCTTACGTATTTTTTGCATCTTGACGAAGTTATATTTGCAATTGACAAGGTCATAATAACAACCGTAGTATTATGCGAAAAGCTGGTATCAATTCAATTTGTTGAAAATCTTGTAACATCGTCTATTTCATCAGCTTGTTTCGGGTTAAAATTTGATCGTACTCATATTTGCTCATAGAGCTGAAAATACTAGTATGTTGTTGATTAATTCATAATTAAAATACAATGTATATAATAAAAACTTAATAAAACTAAAGTATGTACTATACATATATCACATGGCTTCGAGGGTAACATACCAGAATATTTGCCCCGAGGTGACAGGAAAGCCGAGGGGCAAATATTCTGGTATAGTCGCCCGAGAAGCCATGTGGTATATGTTATATGACATTTTTAAAATTGAAAAAAAATTAAATCATTTAAAATCATTGAAATATATAGAGTATATTCAATGTTTTGTTGTTGAATATGGAATTTATTTCACGAGTCGGACAGGATTTTTGATATTTTATCAAAATATCAAAAAATCTTATCTCACGAGTGAAATAAATTCCATATTCAACTACAAAACATTGAATTTTCTGTTTATTACATTTAAAAAAAAATCTTTAATTTTTCCTTTGTCTCTGTCTTTTTTTACAGTCATGGGCTCATGACGTCATAGTTGAGCGGTTGAGACGTCATAGCTATGTAAGTTTAAAACACTTTAAACATGGATTTAGCAACATATTTTTGGTAATTTTGACAGTTTTATTCGCTGTCAGAATGGTTTATTTATTTCCGTCTATCTTATAATAGGTCAATGAAGATTTTTTTACAGCAATCTTCGTTATTGGAAGGGAGTTCGAGAGTTTTCCCGCACTTCTGATATTCTTCACACTGTGACAGGATATCATTTTGATACATACATATTGGTACATATTTTATATCAGCATTGAATATATTGGAAAACTAATAATACAGAAGCATTTAATGAATATGAAGGTATAAAATATGCCATTGTCTTGCTGATCTTTCTAACATTAATTATGTGTATCATTTGCAAATAACTATTTCTTTAATGAAGAATGAAAAAGCGAATCAAAATTGCATAAAAATACTTATAAAAAATCAAATCCTCAATACAAAAATCAAAAATATGAGAAAATACCTGGCATTTAATTTGCTTTTCCCGAATGTCAACACAATTATTTAAACAAATGAATATCGTACACTTACTTTTATGTTTTATAACAGTCATGTCTTTAACAGATGAATTATCACCAAACACATAGCGGATGAAACTGCATTTTGGAGCTGCCGAGTTCCATTTAATTGCATAACAGTTTTGATTTGCCATACACTTTAATGCACATTCTGGAACGTCAGTGCACTCTCGTCGATTGTCCACAGACAATGCGTACACTGAATCGTCTTTCAAACGATTTGTTTTAGTAACCATCATGCAATTTTCAGGAGCTGAAAAAAATCAATAAAAAATATATACTGCTTCGTTTCTTATTTGTAATATTTCGTATAAATTTCGACGGATTTTTCCGTATTACCCAATCATGATAAGGAGCACACGGCGGGTGTGACCGGTCGGCAGGGGATACTAACTCCTCCATGGCACCTGATCCTACCACTTATGTTTTTTGGGTGCGAGGTTGCTCTGATCCTATTTTGTATTGTTAAATGGACTTTCGAGCTTGAATACCATTCGTTATTTCAACATATTCATGTACTCAGTTGGAATTTACTCGATGGAACAACCTTTCCAAATACTGATGTCCAGCAACATGATAAAAGTTTCTGTTATTTAACCCATCAAATATAGCTTTTAAAAAAAAATCAGGCAGAAATATAAAGAAAACAAAATGATACAACTCCAAATAAAATATAAAAAAATAAAAAGAAGCTTTTGTTTCAGGGACCCCCTCCCAACCTTAGACAGACTGGATTAGATTGTAATAATGAATAAAATGAAAGAGAAAATAAATACAAAACTAAAGCAGTCCTTCAAAAAATACTTTTAAGTACCTTGCTTTCTGCTTTTGCATACAAACGTTTTGTTTCTTTCACAGCTTTCAACGTACAGTTTCTTATCTGTAAGGTTAAAATACAGACAGGCCATTTTATCTTTCAGCTTCTCTTTAGGCATGATAATTTGATGGCGGAGCTTAAACGATTTGCAGTCTAGATACATGCTCTCATTGTTGGATGTCCGCATAATTCCACCAATCCAAACATCTGAATAATTACTACAAAACAAAATTATTCATACCAATTAAAATACTTTCGGATTGATGTTTAATAATGTATCATTGTACAACCGCTTGAAAAGCGGGAGGGTATATAGTGATCGGGATGTCCGTCCGTCCGTCTGTATGTCTAGCTGTCCGTCCGTCTGTTACGCTTTGAGGTACCCATCTCTTATCTGCAACTGCACTGCTCTTTTACCACTTCATAAAATTGATGAGACTTTCAGAGAATCTTTATTTAATGCCATTATGCACCTCCTGTTTTACTTTTTGATACCACACATAGTTTGGGTTTCCCGTAGCAAATTAAAACATGACACTGCCATTATATTCTTACCTTTGACGTGAGGTGTGGCGGCTTCTGAATAACATGGGACAACACGAGATAGACCTCTTTACACGTTACCGTAAAGAATATAGAGAGGAAATTTCCCATAACAAAACATGGACACTGCAATTATATTCATATTGGAGGCCGAAGTATCATTTAGTGAGCATGTCAAGTTTTAAAACTTAAAACAAACGCGGGAATCCCGATCACGAAGAGTGTCATTCCCTACACTGCCGTTGATTGTGACGGAAATTACTTTTTTGGGTTGTATTTTTACGTACCTACGATTTTCCATGGCTATGTTCATTTTTGAACAAATGACAAAGAAATAACTATAATAAGTAAATTTCTAAAAATAGATATTACATAAATCATTTTCTTCAAATCTTCAAAAGGTTCTAAAAGATCTTTGTTATTATTTTAGTGGAATGGAGCATTGGTAGATTTTTATAATACCGTTAATATAAGTATCAGTCACATAATCCAGTGATGGGGTAATATACTGTACGTTGCGAAACCGATGCGCTTTTTTTTATATGTACATAAATGACATGTCTGTCGACCGTCGACCAACCTTCGATCATCGTCCGACCATCGAGGGTCAGGTTATAAAGTCGGTCGTCCGTCGTTTAACAATAAGGGTTTCCAAATTTTCGGCCGACGGTTAAAATCGAACTGTAGCTTAGAGCTCGATGATCAGGCGACGATTGGCCGACTTCTGAATATTTAACCTATTATGCCTAGGTCACGTTTAAGCCGATGGCCGCGCGACCAATTTTTTTTGGTATCGTCGGCTGAAAGAACATGATCGGCCGACACGAGTTTCGGGAGACACGTGGCAGTTACATTGATTCCTAGGGACACCGATGACTAAAATAACGAACACAATTTTTTCTTCTTCAGAAATCAGCAATATCTTTCATAGATCTATATTCAAATAGGTAACTTTGGTGTATGCAAGGTAAAGTGAGAGAATTTTGTAAGATTATGACACAATGTTAAAATTTTTTGCAAAATTTGGTAAAGAATAACATAGAAAAGGAAAAAAAGGCGCATATCTAATCAGCAAAGAAAACTTGAGATTTCTTTAAATTTTACGGATTTATTATTTATGTCATTTCCATTCAAAATATATATACATCAATGCAAGCTTCAAAATTTTGTTTAGAATTACATACAAAAATACAAAAGGCGCATATCTAAGCAGCAAAAGATTTCTTTATATTTTACGGAATAATTATTTATGTCATTTCCATTAAAATATTACTATTAATCCATGCATCAAAATTCTGTTCGTGTTATGTATCTTTAAAAGGTTAAATATTTAGGAATGTTGGTCGACCGATTGTTTCGATTAAAGAAATCGGCCACCGACGCAGAAAAAATTATAACTTAGACCTATGAACACAAAATAAGTCGAAAGACGAAAAAAGAGGTCAAAATCAGGCAGGACAACGGCCGATGAACTGCCGATTGTCACCAGAAGAATCCTAGTTTTGCTTCAAAAACTGTTGGCCGTCGGTCGTTTTGGAAAATGTGACTGGGGTTTTAGTGATCACAAGATACAGATAGAAATCTGTAGGTTTTGTGCGGAGACTGAACTCGAAAAAACGTCTAAAGATTTATGGAAAGCGTTGGCAAGCGAAACAAGGCTCTCAAGGAATTATATCCACTTCGTCTCTAAATCGTCTATGAAGCCCAACCTACAGGACTCCTAGTCGATGTTTGAAGTAATAATTTGCGCTTGTCTTCCCATGTATTGAAGGATATGGAGATAACGAACAGTATTCAATATCAACGTCCATAAAACAATACAAAACAGGAGCAGAGCAAACATGGACCTCCAAAACATCAGAGGTAGGATCAGGTGACATGGAGGAGTGAGCATCCCCTGCCGACCGGTCACACCCGCCGGGTACTCCTTGTCATGATCGGGAAATAACGGAAAAATTCGTCGTCAGTTCAGTGTATCAATAAGGGACTAACAATAAGTATGAAAAACGTCAGTGAGCATTTGACTCAATGATAATTTGTATTTGCTGACAAGGTCATTATATCGACCAAAGAACTTTCGAAATGATGACTTTGAACGTTACTGCTGATATTCTTGTTTCATCAACTTGTTTGTCAATAATTTACCTCGTTTTAGATATTGTTCATACGTAGAGCATGCTCTTGCGTATCGAATCAACTGAGATATGTAAACTCCGTATGCAGGTGATGAAGGTATATATATTGCTGCATAGGTAAGGTAAGTTGACGATAGAAAAGTTAAAGTCATCACGTTTATCATAGAGCTTGGTTGTTAGATTACCATTAGTGTCTTTTTCAATTAAGTAAAACATCCAAGTGGAACAGATGTGTCAGAATCTGTGGTATCTTTTATCTCAAGCTCACGACGATATATTGTATCGACATAGAAATGGAAATTACCATTGTTAATTGACAATACATCGTCGATATATCTAAATGTCGATTTGAAGGCCACAGCAAGTGTTTTCTTCTTTTCACGCATAAGATTTTGCACAAATGTAAATAAATATTGGCATTAGAAATGGCTATTTTGGTACCATGGAATTTTCAATAAATCTTCTCCATTAAATATATAATAGTTACACTTGAGATATTGTTCAAGGAGTTTGACAAGGGATTCAGTATTAAAAATTTGTATAAATCTGCTGTCCCAGACTAGCGAAATACTAGTGAAATTTAGTGTAGAAAGATATAACAAACCTAATCACGAAGGGTATGATCGGGAAGGCCGGTCGAGGGAGTCCTATAAATGAAATATATTTAGATAACGAACAGTATTCAAGCTGAAAAGTCCACTAAACAATAAAAAAGAAAATAAAAGGAGCAGAGTAAACACGGACCTCCAAAACATCAGGTGGGATCAGATGCCATAATTTATTCCTACTTCCTTAAGATGAGATGGCAAATTCTCTACCTGCGGATGGAGATGAAAATATTTCCTGTAGGGTGCCCAGTGGTGCTTACTACATGTATATGGCGCCCTGACATGTCTTCTTTTAGTATCTTAGTAAACAGGTAACATTGTCCTGGTCTACAGTCAAAAGGATTTAGAGTTTCAATTTCGTTCAAAAATTTTGTCGAGAGTTTTGATGATGGCATTATAGAGCTCTTCAGTAGGTTCAGAGTACAGTATCTTGTAGAAACAGTTGTCTACGAGTTGCCTTTGGGCCTCTGCTATGTACTTTTCTTTATCAAGTACAGCTGTTAAAAGAACCTTTGTATGCATTTATTATCACTGTGTCCAATTCTTTATGGATTATAAGGCGGATATTTCGTCCTTACTTAAATTAACGGGGGGCCTTATCTGACATTGATAGGAATTTCTCAACGTCTGACTCAACGGCGCCATCGATGTGTGATAGAAGTGATCCGCAACTTCACCAGCAGTTCACAGTCATTTTTTAGGTCGATCGAGTATAAACTTTTCTATGACATGCAATTGTGGCAAGAAAACGCAGGTCAAATTCATAATTGGGTGCTTTTGGAAAAATGCTCCTTCAATCGTAGTCTCGGGGATTTCTATCTGAATTGTAATTCGTCGACCTCATGTGATGTAAAACAAAAATTCAACCATTTGGATCACTTGAGGTACTGAACGTTGTCTCGAAAAAAATAATCACGAGATTTTAAGCATCG